AGATCCTCACTAAAAAAAATTCTGAAGGAGCCATCTCAGGCGGAAGAAAATAATCCAGATGAAAGGTTTGAAATGCTAAGATGGAATAAAGAACAAAGAATATGTTGAATATGTTGGTAAATCTCAACAAATACTGACTATATAAACAACAGTAATAGCTTATAGGACTCCCAAAAGATATAATTAATTAAAATACATAGCAGTAGCAACATGAATTGGAAGAGGATAAATGGATAGAATATTCTAAGTTCCTTTTATTGTCTTAGTACAGAACGAAGGCATTGATTAATTTCAGACTTCCATTAAGAAAGCATGTTAAAATTCCTAGCATATTAAAAGGATAGAAAATACAGTGTACAACTTCCAAACAAGAAGATGAGGGGGATGGAATGAGAAAAAATAATCCAAAAAAGGGGGAAAAAAAGGAAAACAAAACAGAAAAGGTGGGGCAAATAAAAAGCACAAAATAAGGTGAGATACTGAAAAGCAAATATAGCTGTAGTTATAATAAATAGATTAACAGCTCCAGTTAAAAGACTGGCTGACGGGCCAAAAAATCAAAAGGACAGAGGAGGTGAATCTCAGAAAGTATGGATGAAGCCACATTTTTTTAAAACACTTTGCACCTCTTTACTCCTCGACTCTCTAAAATCTGGCTTTTCAAAGAAGTCTAGTAACCACTCTTACTTAAGACCACTAATGAGCTCTCCTCTTGACTTCTATGCTACATTTGATAGAGCTGAACACTTATCCTTTAAATCTTTCCTCTACTGTTGTTGGGAAAACAAACCTAGTGACTCTTACATTTATGTAAACTTTTTGTCAGTGTCCTAAATTGACTTCTGGCTTCTATCCATCCCTCATTTTTGTTTTTCAAAGTTTGGGCCTCAAACCATGTGCAATGGAAACACCTGAGCCCCACTCCAGACCTACTGATTCAGAACTCATAGATGTGAGTTCTAGGGCATTGGCCTTGTAACAAGCTCCCCCAGATGATTCAAGTGTGAGAGTTATTATTTTAAATGTTGACCCATAAGGTTCTGTCACTGCTCCTCTTCTACCTCCATCTGTTACACATGTACAATTAAAACCACAGCCCAAACTTCTACCACTTACTACTATCAACAGGACATGTAAGCTGACCACCCCACCCCCTGCCAGCACCTATAATCCCACCTGATGCAAAGAATATTTGTTTAAATGAACATGACAACTCCCAAACTTCCTTTGTCAACCAAGGTCTATCTCCTTTAGGCTCTACACCTGCAGGTGCAGCTAGCCAATGGACATGTCCACCTGGATGTCCTAAAGTTACCCTGAATTGGTTAGGATTAAGTTCAGCTAACAGTAACAGAAAAACCTAAAAGAATAGTGGTTTATATAGCATAGAAGTGTATTTCTTTCAAATAACAGTCTGTAACAGGCTAGTATGAAAATTCTGCTCCACAAAGTTCTCAGAGACTTTCTGTTTTCCACTCCACTATGCCTAGAATATGGTCTCCATTTCAAGGTCCAAGATGGCGCTCCACCCAAAACCACCACATTCCTAGCATCGGGAAAGAAGCAGAAAGAAGGAAGAGAGAATGGTACCTTCATCTCTTTGTAATATACTTCCTGGAAGTAGAACACACTACTTTCATTCCACTGACTGGTACTTAGTCTCATGGCCATATCTAACTGCTAGAGAGGCTGGAAATGTAACCTTTATGTTAGGCAGCCAAATTGTGTTACCAAGAAAAAAAAGGGAGACCAGACACTGGAGGGCAACAGCATTCTTGGACATACATTCCAAAGTCAGCCTACCCCACAATGAACTTATCGGTTTTCAGGATAAATTGGAATTTTAACCTTTGTGATGTGCCCACCCTACCATTACCTCCATTCTGCCTGGCAAACTCCTCCTCTCTTAATATTCACATCATGTGTCTTTTTAGGAGGCTTTCCTTTACCCAACCACTTTTCCTTCCAACCCACACCGACTGGATGTCTTTAGACCACCTTCATATGCAGCACACATCTCTATTTTTGCATTGCTAATTCTGTATCGTATCTTTTTAAAGTCTATCTCTACATTCATCCCTGGAAGGTAAACTTCCTGGAGAGAGAGACTATGCATCATTTATCCTAGCATCACATGCACATAAATTTGTATCATACTAAATTGTATGAAAATCAATCATTAATACCTGCTTCTTAAAATTATGGCAGTAGAGACGTGGTAAAAGAGGTACTTAATAAAAAGAATATCATGGTATGTAGTATTGTATTATAATGGGATGTGTTAAAGTCTCAAATTACAAAAGATTCCAACAGCAGTTATAAGAATACAGTAGTCCCCTCTTATCTGTGGTTTCACTCTCCATGGCTTCAGTTACCTATGATCAACTATACTTCAAAAATATCAAACAGAAAATGAGAGAAATAAACAACTCGTAAGTTTTAAACCACGTGCTGTTCTGTGTAGTATGATGAAATCTCATGCTGTCACACTCTGTCCCGCCTGGAACAGATCATCCCTGTGTCCAGTGCCTTCACGCTGTATATACTACTCACCTGTTAATCTCTTAGTAGCCATCTTGGTTATCAGATTGACTGTCAAAGCATCATAGTGTCACAGTGCTTGTATTCAAGTAACTCTTATTTTACTTAATAATGGCCCCAAAGTATAAGAATAGTGATGCTGACAATTCAGATAGCTAAAGAGAAGCCATAAAGTATATGTATGTATAGGAAAAAACATAGTATATACAGAGTTTGGCACTATCTAAGGTTTCAGGCATCCACTCTGGGGCTCTTGGAACGTATCCCCTGTGGATAAGGGGGCAATACTATAATATGGCTATATACTCTTACCTAGCCACTGCCGTCCACACACCTTACCTACTCATTTTCTATAACCATCTTTCTTTTTTCTGGTATAAACAATTTAGTGAGGTAAATTTTAAGTATGTTTACATTTGATTACACTAATAGGTTTACATTTAAGTTAGGCCAATGATTGGATTCTGCGCTTAGACCCCTCTTAAATGTCAGCAGTTGCTCCACTGCAGAAGACCAGGTTAGACATGTCTGAGTCCTTGGAAAAGTCATCAAGGAGCTTCAATGTTTTGATGACTTTTCTCTGAAAGAAAATATCTAGACAACCATAGTATTCAACTTACGAAGCACGGCATTACGACTGATAAAGACATTACTAAAATAACATGTTAATCTACAACAGCTTCTAGAGAGTCAAAATTTTCAGATGTGTAGAATTTACTTAAGACTATCAAAGTATCCATTTAACTTGAAAAATATGACCAAAATCACGTAAAACATGTAACAGTTGTTATGCCCAATCTTTTAAAAACTATCTTCTAGATATAAATAATGGAATATCACGTGTGATATTAAATTTATTATCAACTATAAAGGAAGTTGAACCCCAAAATGCTTATAGCAGCAAGGCTTCAATGGTCCAAGTGTGGTCTATAGCTTTTCCCACATTCTCCAATGTGGACTGTCAATTCAGACTATGATGCTGGGTTGGCTCTCAAGAATTCTAACCATAGCCTTCATTACCTCCAGTTCTCTAACCTGGACAGTGCCCTTACTGTTCTGCCTGCTGCTCCAGTTGCGCATGAAGTCCTAACCACCATGCCAAAAGCAGTTAGACATAACTTCAATAAAATAAAAGATCATGTAGTTACTTATTATCTTACCATGAGCTCCTGGTGGTTGTAATACATCTCCTGTCAGACGACACCACCCAACTGGGAAAATATCTCGACAATAGTACTTGCACCAATAATCAAAAGCTCCACTCCAGCCATCAAAGGTAATGTACACTTCATCTCCTCTAACATCTCCGACTGTTGCGGGACAGATCAAATACGGATTCTTTTTATCCACAGCTTCCAATTTCATTCCCACTTGAAAATTATTTATAGGTGGCATTGGTGGTTCCTACCAAAACATTAAAAAAAGAAGTCTTCATTGTTCAGATGTATTAAGAAACATTTGCTCAAGTGTATTCTCATAACCTATAGCAATCAAAAATTAAGCTCCATGTTTATCAATTAAATACAAGAAGAAAACCATTCTCACAGATTTCTCTGAAACTCTGCATAACATCTCACTTACTATGGAGCAGAGCCAAGAACCTGGAACAAAACAGAACCAGCTTGACAGTAATTCATTCATTCATTCATTCATTCAAGAAATATATATCCTATGTACCAGAAATTTAAGATTCATTGGTGAACAAAAAGATCAAAGCTCTGGTGGAGCTTACATTCTAGTGGTGGTGGTAATAGTGGTTGGGGGTTGGGTGGGGAAAAGGGGGAGAAGCAATCAACGAGAAATTTTAAAAGCAAGAATCAAACAAATCAACAAATATATAAATTATAGGGTATGCTGAAAGGTAATAAGTCCAAAGAGAAGGAACAGTAGCGGATAATATCCAAAAAGAAACTCAAAGTATAAAATGCAGACATAAGAACATGAAAGTCATATAGTTTGAGGTCACTTATGCTATCCAATCCACACGCCAATATTAAACAAGTATTCCCTAGTTTCAAAAAGTTAAAGCATGCAAATGCTAAAAGTATTCTTAGAAACCCCAAGTGCTATGTTAAAAACAACATCTTTTCTTTCAATTTGCTTTTTATGCTAATAAATAGCACCATCAACAACCCAATCACCCAAACCAGAAGCCTGGAAATAGTCCTAGACCAGTGATTCTTAGCCCAACTTAACATTAGAATCACCTAGGGCCACACCACCAGAGAAAATAATAAACTGGTCTGGGGAGGGGCCCGTGAATCAGCCCCAGGTGATTCTAATATGTATCCAAGGCTGAGAACCACTGAGGCATCCTTTTCCCTTAACAAATTCAAAGATCATGACCTACCAAGTGTACCCCCTATATCTCTACAGTAATAACATTAAAAGCTAACCTTCAATTGGTTAGTATGTGCCAGGCACTATTTTATATTTTCCATATATTCATTTAATTCTCACAATACCCTATGAAGTCAGTGTAAATTATTATCCCCATTTTACAGATGAAAAAACTGATATACAATTGCCTAAGAATACACCATACTACCAGAGCTAGATTTTATTGTATTTTTTTTTAATTTATTTATTTAAATTAGTTTCAAGTATACGGCACATTGATTAGACATCTATATAGTTCATAAAACGATCCCCCCAATTGTTCCCTCCCTCCCCTGGCCCTCCACCTAGCCATCATATTAATGCTAACTGCATTCCCTATCAGAGCTAGATTTTAAACCTAGACAGTCAACTCCTTGGAACACCCTAACCCATCATCTGCCTGGCCAACTTCAACTCAGCCACTTCAACACCCAGCTCTCCTGGCCTCTTTAAGGCTTCTCCCACCAACTTGTGCTCACTCCCACCCACCTCAAACAGAGGCACTCTTGCCTGAAACTACTGTTGGAATATGTTCACTCCTCTATGAGACTAAGAGATTTTCAAAAGCAGGTACTACATCTTATTCACATTGTTATTTCCAGCATAGTGCCCAACAACAAGCATTTAAAAAAATGGAATGAACCAAGGAATCTCTTGAAGAACAGTAAGCAAGCTCTCAACTCATTCTTTTACCAAACTATAAATTTCCAGGGGAGGGAGGGAGCAATTGAGGGGATCGTTTTATGAACTATATAGATGTCAAACCAATGTACTCTATACTTGAAACTAATTTAAACAAATTTTTAAAAAATAAAAATAAAAATGTTTTTTAAAAAACATAGCTGGTAGGTTGGTTCCTTCTTTTAATGCCCCCTTTAAACCCATCTCACCGTCCCATACGTTTCCACTATTATCCTTTACACCCTTGCGATTCGAAAGTTCTTAATTATTAGCCTTCAAAGTCCTTTTAATTACATATTAATTTGATTCTTTAAAACCACCTTCAAAGTCAGCAAAGTATTTAATAACTAAATAGTAAGAAGCAGTTACATACTGCCACTTCATGAAGTGGCCAAAGATCAATTGTCTGTTACTACATATGGGGGGGCATATTTAACAAAAGAAAACCTTGGTAGTTGATAAATTTGTACCGGACATTCACAGAATGCAGAAAACATTCAAGGCACACGTAAGGATCCCGGGACCTTACACTGTCATATAACAGAGTAAGACTTTCTGAAGCAAAGCAAAAGTTCAAATAGCGTATACATTTTTCTGCTATAAAACGGAATAAGACAGGAATAGCAGAGAAAAAGAAGTTTAAGATTCAAATGTATAACCAAAAAGATATCCCAATGTGACACAGTACATTATCAACACCACTATTAGCTGGTAAATAACAACAACAACAACAAAAAAAACAGAAAATGATCGTAGACAAAATGCAATTTATTCTCTTAAGATTTTCATACTGTTTATTAATTCTTCTAAATTTCATGAATAGCCAATCAAATTTACTTACGTCAGTATAGCCATATAAATAAATATTAACAGAGCTCTCTGGAAGAAAACCAGTCTTTATTTTTTTAAAAAAATTAAAGGAACTGCTTTTTACATAACAGTAAATGAAAAGGCTATTTCAAAACAAGCTACCTCCAGATTTAGATAACTGGCAAAATGGTTCCCTCTGCTGTCCACAAAAGGTAATGATATTTATGTCATATCAATGCATATACCATTTATATCAAAGTAAATTTAGTGGCTTTTAAAGTATATGGTATGGTTGGTCAATATCAGCTCTTGAATGATTTCCTAAACACAAAGATAAAATTTGCAAAAGAAATAGCTAAAATAAACAAGAGATCGTTCTTTTATTGTGAAAAAAAAAATGATGCTGTTCTAGAAAGTGAATAGTAAAGAATGCTCTTTGAACCTCCCTCCTTGCTTATCTACAATACAGTTCTTCTTAAAGAATATTTCTTCCTGAATCCTACCAACTCTGAAGCCAATCTCAGCATTATCTGCATTACCCCTCTGCCTGGAATATTCTTAACCGCATAGCCTCATGATTCATTCTCTTGCTTCAAATCGTCACTCAAATGGCACCATCTCAGCAAGAACTTCCTGGCCAACCTATCTAAAATGTCATCCTCCCTTCTCTTTAGTATATACAACTATCAAACATAATATATACATACTTTATTTATCGACCATGGTTTTTTTTACATTTCTACAGCTAGAAAGTAAGCTTCATAAGAGCAGGAGGTTTTTTTTTTTTACTGTTTTTGTTTACAACTGTATTCCCAGTCTACCTCTGACCGCAAACTCCTATCCTTAACTTCTACTTCCCTACTTTTAATCAACTACTTCTTTGACCTCGTCAAGAATTCTAGTTCTTTAACCTTTATTCATTTACAAATATTTACTGAGTACTACATGTCAGACACTACTGAAGGTTCTTGATATGTTAATTAGAAAAACAAACAAAAATCCCATCCCTGTGGTGCTCACCTGCTAGCAAAGAACAACATGAGAAACATGATAAAATAAGTAAAATATAAAAAATAAGTAAATAAGTAAAATAAAATCTATTACTTATTTTATAAGTAAAATATATTATTTTATTTATAAGTA